TGAAGATTTGCTCATCTTGCTCCAAATTCCAGGTGCACGGACTAAGATAGTCAAAAGGCTTTCCTTTGATGTTGGTATGTTTCAGGGGTTTATTTGGTTACAATTTTTCAGACTTCCATGCTTTTTTATTGTTGTCTATTTTTAATCCAAGAGTGAAATTGTAGCCACAGAACATCACCTCTTCACCTCCTAACTTCCATTCTTATTGAGCATTTGTGATTTTTTTTGACAGAATTTATTGCAGGTTCAAAGGGTCACTGTGAAAGATCATATTACAGGACATGGCCCTTTTTTTTCCTCTCTTGGGTCCATTCTTCTTCCACCTTATTTTGGAATAAGAAAAGGTACCTTTTTGACCTGGGGAAGCAGTCGCACTAACCTCAATCTTCCTCAAGATCTCTGTTTCTATGTCAGTCCCTTATCAAGATATTTTTCCCCGAAATATCAGCTCTCATTCTCTAAGAAATATTCTGAAAAACAGTTTTCTCCATGCTATACATGTACTTATATTCAGTGGATACATTTACTTTACAAAAATGGAATCATGCTATTAATGTTCTTTTATAGCAGATGTTTTCAATTAATTCTATATTGTGAGCCTCTATCCTTGGCAGTAACTATAAACCTTCATCAAGCTTTAGCAGATGTACACTTCTGTGCTGAAGGAATGTCACCATTTATTTATTTCGGCACACTTAGGCTATTCCAGTATTTTGCTATTATGAAGAGTGTTGTGATGAGCTTCCTTGTGTTTCTCTGCATACTTTTCCATTACTTAGAAACTCACGTAACTTATTTCTTCTTAACTGGATGAATTATAATAATTCACAGACTCCATTTATCTGTAAAATATATTGGTACCCATGACATGCACCTACATACACACATGCACACACACGCACACACGCACATGCATGCATGCGTGATGTTCAGGAGACACTATTTTACTGAGTTAATTTTTTTTTCATTAGAAATGTATACATTTTCATAGTATATTGAGATTGTTTTATCTTTCACTCATTAACAGATTTCCTGATATATTTTTGTGTCTTTGGAGGAATGAATCTCCACTTGGATGAAATGTTGCTAATGTATTGCTAAATTTGAATTATAAATACTAAATTTATACTGCTAAATTTGATTTAATTTCATTAATATATAAATTTATATAATATTTTTGGATTTATATTTATAAGTAAGAGTTCTTGTTTTGTAATGTCTGTTTTGATATCAGTGTCACTGATACTGTCTTCATGAAATCACCAGAAAAGTCTCCTTAGTTTTTTAGCTTTGGAATACGGTCCTGTGTCACTCACTGGAATAGTTCTAAGGAAAACATCTTGCAAACATCATGAAACTTACACAAACCTCAGTGTTACAGCCTACTGCAGAGCTACGCTAAACGGGATGGCCTACTGCATAGCTATGCTCTATGGGATGGCCTACTGCTCCTGGGCTACATAACCTATGGCTGTGCATATGTACAGCAATGTGTACAGCATATTATCATACTGAATAAGCAGTTGTAGCACAGTAGTGTTTGTATCTAAGCATAGAAAAGGTACAGTAAAAATATAGTCTTATGGTGTTAAGGCACGATCATTTTATCTGTTTCATTGTTGACCAAATCATTGTTATGCAGCATATGAAGTAGTATAGAAATTACTTATTTATTGAATATGTGCGAAAAAGCTTTTGGTCTTTGATATACTTTTCAATATTACTCATGATTTATTATTCTGTTTAGGTATTCTCCCTTCTATTGGGTCAGTTTTAGTGAAAAAAATACCTATCTGTATATCTATGTATCTATGTATGGTTGTGCTTATAATTCCTTTTTTTTTTTTTTTTTTTTTTTTTTTTTGAGATAGGGTCTCACTCCGTCACCCAGGGTGGAGTGCAGTGGTGATATCATGGCTCATGGCAGCCTTGACCTTCCAGGCTCAGGCAGTCTTCCCTCCTCAGCCTCCCAAGTAGCTGGGACCACAGGCATGCATGTACCACCATGCCTGGAAAAATTTTTTAAACTTTTTGTGCAGACTGGGTCATGCTATGTTGCCCAGGCTGGTCATAAACTCCTGGGCTCAAGTGATCCTCCCACCTTGGCTCCCAAAGTGCTGGGATTACAGGCATGAGCCACCACGTCTGGTGTAATGCCCTTTTCTTAATTTTGTCCTTTTTTCCTTTTCTTTTTGATTAAAGTAGTAGTTGGTAGTCAGCTTATATTTAAAAAATAGTCCTTGAATGTATTCTTGATCAATCTTACTATTATATAAATTATTTCTATTTCTAATGTATTAATTTCTACTTTTATTGCTATTCATATATTTTTTCTATTTTACTGCTTATTTGATGTTCTTTTTCTCTATTTCAAAAGATTTACTTACCATTTTTCACCCAACTGCTTAGCAATTAAAGTGTTTAATTTTGCCTTGAGTACACTTTTGGCCATTTACCATTGGTTGTGTTAGGTATTTATTAGATATTTTACCATTTATTAGATATTTACGATTGGTTGTTGGTTGTGTTTGATATTTATTAGATATTTTATATTATGGTATTGATTCCATCATTGACCCAAGAGTTATTAAGGAGAGAGTTTAAATTTTTATATACTTCGGTTTTATTTTCGTTCCTGCTTTTCTTACTAAATTCTGACATAGTTCTGTCAGAGAACTTGGTTTATACCATGTCTGTTTGCAGTAAATTTAATGAAATTTTCTTTGTGGCTCACTCTATAATTTTCTTAAATGCCCCATGGCTTATTAAAAGAGTTCATTCTTATACTATTAGCTTCTTTCAAGAAGCACTTATGTTATATATATATCATTTTAGATAGATAATATATGTTTTTTATATACCTATATAGTTTTAGATAATACAATAGATAGCTTATATATAATTTTATATAGCTATATATAATTACATATATATTATATATATAATTAGTTTTACAAAATCAGAAATAAAATGAAAAGCATGAGTTAAGTTTTAAACAAAAGGGACTCTTAAAATTCAAAAACTTTATCATGTCCTTTTTCCCAATTGCTATTGTTCTAAATTGGGAACAGATATTCTTACAGAATAAAATTAGAAGTTCTGCTTAACACACAGTACTTCTCGTTCCTCTGCTATCTTCCACCCCTATCTTTTGTCCGCTGTACTCTGCAGTCTGTGAGTATAGCTCACTGGCTGGCTCTTAGGGGAGGCTGCCGGACCCAGAGCCAGAGCAGAGCCTGAGTAATTAGTGTATTAGCTCTGAATCTCTGTACAAATGTCACGGAGGCTCTATACACAAAAAAGCTCTTCTCATGAGTTGGCGTCTTTTCTGTGTGTTTCTTTTCTTACTCTCAGTCAGATAATAACTTTATTTCTTTATTTTTGGAAAGAGGGAACGTGAAGGACATCTTTAATTGTACACTGTAACTGTAGAGTCTCTTCCCTCCCTACTCTTGGTTTTTTTTGAGACGGAGTCTCGCTCTGTCCGCCCAGGCTGGAGTGCAGTGGCCGGATCTCAGCTCACTGCAAGCTCCGCCTCCCGGTTTACGCCATTCTCTGCCTCAGCCTCCCGAGTAGCTGGGACTACAGGCGCTCGCGACCTTTGCCCCGGTAATTTTTGTATTTTTACTGGCGACACGGGGTTTCATTCACCATGTTAGCCAGATGGTCTCGCCTTCCTGCGTCGTGTCCGCCGGCCTCGAGGCGTCGCCAAGTACTGGGATTAAGGTGTAGCCACCACACCGGGGAGCTCTTCCTCTACCTCTTAACAAGAAAGTTAAACGCAGGGCAGTAAGAAAAGCCTCAAACTTCACTCTCTTCAGAAACTGCGTGCAGGCGTCAAGCTACCGGAGATTTTCTCCGTTCCTCTTTTTTTTTTTTTTTTTTTTTTTTTTTTTTTTTTTGAGACAAGCAGTGGGGGTCCTCGCATGTATCGTCGCAGG